CAGTTTTCCATCAACAGAAAACGACAGCCGTGTTTCAGCCACAGTAGAATCAATTGTTGATTGAGTTGGAGGAGCTTGGCAATACAGCAGGAGAAAAGAGAGCTCGGACAGGCGCTCCCCAGTGGTTGTCCAGCTTGTGGCAATGTTGGCTGGAGTCTTCTCTGCCTTTCAGTTTCTCAGCCCCTCACTTCTGGCTCCCCAGTTCCATAGGGACACTGCCAAGAATGCGATCAGCACGGGGACGGACACACACACACACACACACACACACACACACACACACACGTTGGCAAGGGACACCTAAGCACCTACTTCCCTCGAAGACCAGTTTTTCTAGTGGGTCTTGGAACGCCTTGCCTCTTAGGCTGATGACCAAGATTGTTGAGGCTGGAGGAAAGCACAGGCATCCCAGTACTGGCCAGAACAGGTGGGTTCAGACAGGCTACCCTCGAGGCAGCTTTGGGCACAGATGGACACAGAAAGCCTGACTGGCATGGTTGCAGTAACCTGAAATAGTGCATCCTCAGTCAGTGGCATACCCCCCACGCCTGCTGCATTGGGTAGCTGAAATTCTCCCAGCTCAGCTGAAAACTCCTTGTTCTAGAAGTAGCCCCTTCCCCATCACAAGGACTGCTAGATTTAATGATCTACCACCAGACTCCAAGCTTTATGCTTGCTTCTTTCCTCCAACAAACCAGGTGGCTATGCAGCCACCACAATCTTATCCAGTGTTTTTAGGGAACCTTGGCCTGGGGAAAGAAGGCACACTTCAGCCTTTCCTTGAGAAATACTGTGTCTTTAAGCTCAGGGCTGTCATTTTGCTCAATTTTGCAAGCTAGATAAACCTAGGTCTTTAAACCCTTCCCATTCCTCAATCTTCCTCGCTCTGACAAGGGCCTTTCAAGCAAAAGAAGACACAGGGAAAAGAACAGTCCTTGGTCCTGAACAAAGCCGCCTCTGTCTCCTCAGCCGGCTGGATTCTAGGGGCCTGAGTCCAGGTCAGACTGAGAGAGCACAGAGGCAGTCAAAGAAGCAAGAAGAGTTTCCCTGGACACCTGCTCTTGGGTTGGGGGGGGGCATCCAAAGTACACACTCTGGCAACATGAAAGGCTTAGTTCTTTCTTTTTAATTAATTGGATTCCACAACAACATTAAGTGTAACAATATTTTGTGGAGTTTTTTGTTTTTGTTTTTTTTCTCTTCTTTTCTTAAAAAGGGGTGGAACTCTAGCAGAGGACAGGGAGGGAAGAGGAAACGGACTACTCCTAACGACAGAACAACAGGTATAGCCAACAGGAAAACAGAGCAAGAGGCCCTGTGGAGTTGAGGGTAAATTTTACAAGAAAACTGTACATTTATCAAATAAGTTAAGATTCTCCTATGTTGATTGTCCTTCACTTAAAGCGCTCCACTCTGCCTGGCTTCCTCCTCTAAGCATTGCTACCCTACCTTGCTTTCTTCCTCCCCCTCTCCCCTGTTTCATCTTCCCTCTATGTCAATGATTGCGCTGTGGCATGGTGGTCCTTATCCCCACAGAGGAAGGGGCAGGGCTCTAGGGAAATTTTGTACAATATTGCACAGGTCAAAGCACAATAGTTGCTGCACAGTAAAAATGGGAGAGGATAAAATGTATTTTTTCCTACACAAAAAAAAGAAAGAAGAAAGGAAAGAAAGAAATAAAAAAAGAAAGAAATTGAAACCAACCTCTCAAGCAGGTATAACACAGTAGTGATAGTGATGTTAAATAACAATTTTCGGATCAGTGATTTACCACTTAATAAATGCTAGTGATAAATAGGGACCACTGGAACCCAACCAGTAGTGGAGCTGTTCCAATTTTTAAAGTTCTGATTTGGGACTTTTGTCTTTTCTCTTTAAACATTATGGTTAGGGAATTCCTTAGTCACGAATGAGGCAAATGACGTTAACTGCCACAGACCATTTGTGTAGCATAGGGATCCTACCAGAGGTTACTCAGATTTTGGAAAAAAAAAAAAAACCGGGTGTGTGTATGTGGGGTAGTTGATTCTGGGACAGGGGAGAAGAACCACACCCATAAATCCAGAAATAAATATGAATTCAAAATTTGAATTCTCTCTGGATTTTGAAACTAGTTCTATACAAAATGAATAAACTAAAGGAAGTTGGGTTTTGCGCTTATTTTCCTTCTGTAAAAATACACCCCCCTCAAAAAAAAAAAAAAGAAAGAAAAAAGAAAAGCCACAGCGCAACAAAAATTTAAGGGGAGAGTTTTACATTTATCAAAAAAACTTTCGGTTGCAAGTTTTGACCTGGGAATTTTGTAGCCCTACCATCCCTTTTTCTTGCAATGGTAAGCAAAACCAAAAATAAGAGGAGAAGCGCCTCAAATTCATAGGAATGAATTGCACGAAAATGCATTGCAAATACTTACAAAATGCTATTGGGGGGTGGGGTGGGAGGCAAGGCAGTGAGCCCAAGCCCTGGTTCTCAAGGCCGCTGGCCACAGCTTGGCGCCCTTGACCCAGCCCAGTCTCCTCCGGGGTCCCCGAAAGGCGGCCAGGTGCTCACTCCCTCTCCCCTCTCCGGTCTCACACCGGCCGTAGCAGCGGCACGGAGGAGACCACAGGGTGCGAGTAGTAGACTGGGTGCGGGAAGGTGAGCAGCGGCTGGCTGACCGGCACGGGGGCCCCGGCGGCCGCCGCCGCACCGTCGGCGGCAGAGTTCTCGTGGTAAAGGATAGGCACGCGCACGATGCGCTGCGCAGCAGCGTGGCTCAGGTTGGCGGCCTCTAGCTCTGCCGCCAGCTGTCGCTTCCACTTGTTGCGACGATTCTGGAACCAGATCTTGACTTGCGTCTCGGTGAGGTGAAGCGACGCGGCCAGGCCGGCACGCTCCGAGCTGCTCAGATAGCGTTTCATGTCGAAGGTGGATTCGAGCTGAAAGACCTGGCTGCGGGAGAAGACAGTGCGAGTCTTCTTCTTGCGGCACGCGGGCTTCTTCTCGGGGCTCTCGGCGCCCGCCTTCCAGTCCTCTGAGCCCGGAGTCGCCGCAGTCGCCCCTACAGCCGTCCCAGCCGCGCCAGGCACCGCCTCGCCTTCTTTTTTGCCTTCTTCTGAGTCGCTCTCTTCCAGAATGATCTCGTCCGGGCTCTTGGAGTCCAGCTCCTTGTGGTCTGGATCAGCCTTGAGCAGAGGCTCCGGGGAGTCTCGGTCGGTGCCGGATGCAGGGGAGGAGTCTCGCAGGAGGGCCTTGTCCGAGGCTGCAGAGACAGACAAACAGACGCACACTCAAGCACAGCGACACAACCTTGAGAGAAGGGAGTCTGGGGACATCGGGCACAACCCACGCGTTGGCCTTCCGTCTCCTGGTCCTGGGGCCTCAGCTTTCCCGGGGTCCTCCTGTCCCCGTTGGGCTGCAGTGGGGCGCCAAGACCTAGGATTCCCTAGTCTTCCAAGGACCAGCGAACTAATGATGGCAGCAGGGCCGCTCCTTTTACCCCACGTCTCCCGTGTCAGGGGCCAACGGAAAAATTATCTGTAATTAGGGTTCATCCCTGCCTTGCAGGCCTAGTCCACTACCCAGGTGATCCCAAGCCACCCATTCCTGCTGGAGGCCACTTTTCCCGGGAAGCGCAGCGTCGGGGCCTCCAATTCCTCCTCTTTTCTCAGCAAGTGGGATTGGAATCCTGGGCCTCATAACCAAGCGCACAGTTAAGAATAGAGCTAGAGGCCGGAGGAAGTTGGCCAAAACTCAGGTTTGCAGGTGTAGTAGCATCCGGTAACTGTAGTGACCAGCCCAGGGCGGGGATAGGACCAGCCCGTAGGGAGGGAGGGGAGAGCGAAAGTTCAAAGAGAGATAGGTACCTTCTGGTCGCGGGAGGTGGCCGCCGGCGGGGGTCAGGGTGTAGGGGTACCACCAGGCCGGGGAGCGCTCCAGGTAGTGCGCGGGCAGGGCAAACCTCTGCGCTGGGATCTCAAAGCGGGGAAAAGCCAGGTCGCCCACCTGCGAGAGCGTGAAGCCTGCGGCGCCCTCCAGGGCACCCTTGGCTGCGGCGGCGGCAGCGGCGGCCGCAGCGGCGGCGGCCGAGGCCGGCGCGAAGAGCGTTCGTGGGGGCGGCTGAGGTTTCGGGGGCGGCCGGTGGTGGTCTCCGTTGAGCAGATTCCTGATGGAGAACGGGGATTCCTTGGGCGCGGGAGGCTGGGGTGGCGGCTGCGGGGGCGGCGCGCTGGCAGTGCCCGAGGCGTCCGGCCCGGGCTCCGGCATGGTCCCCAGTCCTCCGGGTCCCACGGAGGGAGGGAGCGGGACAGGCGGGTGGCGGGGCGAGCAGGCTAGGGGCCGGAAATCAGACCATAAACGGAACTCAACTACGGGGCTCAAAGTCGGGGGCCGCCCCGGGCGCGAATCAAGCCGCGGGAGGGCGGGGTAGGGACCGGGCCGGGGCGGGCTCGCATGGGGGAGGGGTCCAGTGGGGCGGGGAGCGGACCTGCCTCTGCTCCCTGGGAGCGAGGGGGCCGGGTGGAAGCTGCGGCTCCCCGGGAGGAGGCTGCGAGAGCGGTCCCGGGTTTGGGATGCGTCAATCCGGCGCCGGATGCTAATGATGAAATCAAAATGTCATCCAAGTTAAATGCGGGGAGTATACGGCGATTGGGCGCGTACAATGGCAAATGGGATTAGGCCGGCCAAGGCGCAGCCGAGTCCGGGCCCCGCAGCCGCCTCTGCCACCGCCCCCCTCCTCGCCTTCCCTCGGATTTTGGCGCTTTGGCTTCGGGCTATGAGAGCCCGCCTGTTATTGGCTTTATATAGTCCAATTAGGCAGCAAATGAGGACAAACCTATTAGCACAAAAGGATATTGGCTCTCGCTAAAGAGGCACTCGGAGAGCTCCCACCAAAGCGGGAGGCGCACGAGGGACCCGGAGAAGGAGACGCCCCCGGCAGACAGGAGCACGCCGACCCACGAGAGTCTGGAACCAGCACCTCCCTCTACCCCCTGCGGCTCGGCCTCGGGCTTTCTGCCTCCCGGCCCGCGGGAGGGGGAGGGGCAGGCCAGGCTGGCTCGAGTCACCTCGGGGTTACGTGCTCTGGGCTAGCAGCCACCGTTCTCCCCACCTCTCCCGGCCTGGCAGGGGCCAGCTGTCCCCACGAGCCTGGAAAGGCTCGGCCCAGGGGGTAGGGCGCCGCCTCGGTCGGGGACGAAGTCCAGTGCTCTTCCCCCAAAACCTGCTAAGCAGGGCGAAGGCAAGAAGAGGGGAATTAGGGTTCCCCACCCACCGTCTAGTGGAAAGGAGAGAGTTCTTGGGTCTGCGGGCTCAGGAATCCGGGTAGCCTTGACCTTTGGCCCTGAGAACAGAAGAGTCAATCCGAATCTCCGAGAGTAGGAGTGGATACGCGACTCTGCACAGGACCCTCTGACTCTGTTCCCGCGCCGACGACAGCACTCCGAAGGACTCCACTCCCCCCCCCCCCACAAATCTTTTCTGAATGACCGTGTCCACGGGTCAAGGACCGACTCCAAACCTGCGGACCGAGACAGCACTTTCCCCAAGAAGTTTCCGGGTGCAGATTAGGAGCTACCTATTGCTTTAATACAGGCTCTGAGAATCGAAGGCGCAGCGGAATACCTTTCTCGGTTGTGACAGTGGCAGCGACACCTGCAGCACGTCCCGTGGGCCTCGCAGTCCCGGGAGAACCAAGGCGGGCCTCTGAGGAATCGCTGGACTCCATCTGCCTTAACAGCTCCCTGAGCCGAGCAGGAAAGGAAGCCCAAGAGACAAGCAGTTCAATTATAGATTTCAGCGACAAATAAAACAGAACTGTTGGTGGGGTCCCTTCCCCGGGGGTAGCTCCTTGTCCCGAGAAAGGTAACAATCTGTCCTCAGCCCTGGCGAGGCTCCCTTCACACTTGAGCTTTCTCTGCCCCACACCTTTCTTTTTCTTTCGGTTGAGTCTCGCCTTATTTTAGCAGACCCGGCCGTTTTGGGTTCCCAAATGGGAAGCAGGTTTATTTTATTTTTCAGTCCTTGGGCTCCTGAATCTCCTCCACCAAATCTTGACGGTTTAAAGTTTTGACATTCACCCCACAGTAACGAACCCTACATTTGCTTTGTAAGTTGTGCTTCCATAAATGGTTACTATTATTCCTCCGAGTTTGTACAAAGCTTTACTGGAATGCACAAGGGCATATCATCTAAAATCTGAGTCCGAGCCAATCACAGCTCGGAGGCTCAAACAGGGTGAGTAGTATGCTCGGATTTTATAGAGAAAAGGTGTCCAGAAAGGAGACCATACCTAAGGCACCCAACCAGTGTTGGACAACTAGAGGTCACCCCCCACTCCGGGAAAAATCGTTTTCTGCGCGTAGGCGACAAGAATTCGATGCGCATTACTTGTGCACAGCAAACCTGGTGGCCCAGTAGGCTGTGGAGACATCCTTCATGGATGTGCGCGGGTCTGGTGGAAATGTGTGCACACTCGCTAAAGTTCTATGGCAGGGAGGCTACTTTAAACTAGAGAAAGAGGAAACACTTCCCCTTTCTGCAAACGGCGGTCAGTCGTTGTGAGTCAGTGCCTACCCTACTCTCTACCATGCGAGGCCATCTGTTCAATCACCATCACCATGTCTCAAAAACGAAAAACAACAACTAATAGGCCCTCACGAGCCCGCAGGCACGGAAAACATTTTGTCCCTGGAAGTGGCTTCCGACTCATCACAACTCTGGGCCTAGCTGTACCGACCTAAGAGGAGTAGGAGACAGCCTTCTTGGGTCTCAGGCCCAATCCAGCGTGTCCCTTTCCTAAAGGGCACTAGAGTGTATACGAATGTGTGAGTTCACCAGAGGCGGGGTCCCCTTATTCGGCGTCAGCACCCCCAGCTGACTTCAACAACAGAAAGCATAGAGTTGATCTTTCCTTTCCAGTTCGAAAAAGCTTGCGTCTTGACCTTGGGTGCCTGGACAGCAATTCAATCCGCTCGCTCTCCGCAGAGTCTGGATCCTTCCACTTGCCAGCACCATAATGCCATACATAGTCAGGCAAATAGCGCCCTCTATGGGGTATCCTCGAGCCTACAAGAGAGGCTGAAGGAAACACAACCCATGAGAAATATTTAAAATCCAAGGCTTTAAGATCCCTACCACCTTTGAAAAACAAACATTAACATTTTCTTTAAAGCTGAGTTATGGGAGAAACCAAGGGCGAAATCTCCTGAAGGTCTCTGCAGATATTTGTCAAGCCACTTCTGGAAGAGATCTCTCCTGTCTCTCATTCTCCTCCTGGCTTTCTGTCTCCTTTTTAAGTCCCCCTTTACATTTTTTCCCTTGTAGCCTTTTCTCTACACGTGGGTCCTGACTGAGTTTCAGGATGCACGCTGCATAAGGCAAGGGTCTGCCTTATTTATCTTTTGAGAACACAGTGCACATTTGGCTTGTGTTAATGCCAAAATTCTTGAATTAGGTGAGTGGGTGAGTACGTGGATGAATAGATGGGTGGTGGGTGGGTGGGTTCACAATTCCTACTGCAGAACATTGATCTGCTTGATAAGAGCACTTCAGATACCCTGGCAACATCCCTGAAACACTCCTCCAAGGCAGGTTTTTCAGTGTTTAATGAGAATCTAGGTTGTTGGTTTTTTGGCATAGGGTTTCACCCTGTAGCCCGGGCTTCTCTGGAAGTTCTATGTAGCCTCCCTAATGCTGGGACTAAAAGCATAAGCAACTACATTCAGATAATCTGAGGTCTTTTGATGATACATTTTATAAACCCTAAAGGAGCTCCCAGGAACATGGCTGCTGAAGAGTGCCTCATAGAGCATTTATGGCACATGGGCTGTGTAAAATCAGATATCCACACCACTTCCTCCTGGAACAAATGGCCACGAGGACAAATGGGGCCTGGAGAACACTAATGAGCAACACTAAACTTTTACACTAAAAATGAGGCAACTTGGCAAAGGGATGCTTAGAACTGTTTTCACACCTACCATACACAAAACTCATATATGCATTTATATACACCCAAGTTGGTATATTCCTCCAAGGGAAGGGGGTGCTTATATGTTCTTTGGGATGTCACCTAAAGCAGAGGTCTTCATTCTGCAGCCGGAGTGGATGAGTCCCCCTTAGATGCAGTGTACAGACTTTCAGAAAAGATGGGAACCAGCTAAGCTTTTAGCCAAAGCTTGAAGACTCATACTGGAGGCCCTAATAACTAACAGCTATCGTTTGCCCTATTCCTGGTGGTTACATTTTACCACCTAACTTTCCTGAGTTCTGGGTTTTGTTTTGTTTTGTTTGACCCAGTCTCCTGGGAAGCACTTGCTCACCTTTTTCCGTGCTACTTGGAATACTACCAAAGACCCCTGCTGATGAATGTGACCTTGAGGAATATATAGCCCATACAGATGGACTGTAGTCATGTTGTCCTTGATGACACATACATCTTGAGTCGCATAAGATAATGAATTATGCAATTTCTAATAAAAATTATTATGCAAAGCTAATCTTCATCATCAGTCATTGGTTGGGACACTGCATACTGGCCACTATCCCAGGGTGAGGTAGGCAGTGCTATTATTCCTGCTTGAAAGATGAAGAAACTGGAGCACATGATTGTTAAGACAAAAGGAAATGGACCCCACATGGGATACAGCGTCAAAGCACTTCTATGAAGAAACTTGGGGCAATGTAGTGAGTGCTGGCTGTGGTTATGGTCAATTCTCACTCACTCTTCTCTTGAAAAAGATTTATTTGTATGCTTGCTGTTTGTCTGTTGTTTATTTTCACAGGGCCTCACTGTGCAGTTCTGGATGGCCTGAAACTCAGAGAGATCCACTTGCCTCTGCCTCCTAGGTGCTGAGATTAAAGATAACTACGCAGACCACACCATTCTTGCCAGTTTCTCTAAGAAAGCTAGGATTCCTAACTCTGGTAGGTCTTCTACATTCTTTCACGCCTTCCACTTCTGAACTCTTGCACACACTGTCCCACACAGGTTACTTTCTGCCATTAGAGTTCTTCTTCTTCTTTTTTTTAAAGATTTATTTATTTTATTTTTATGCATCTGAGTGTTTTGCCTACATGTATGTCTGTCTACCATATGTGTTGCTTGTGCCCATGGAAGCCAGATTCAGGCATTAGATCTTCTTGGAACTGGAGTTGTAAATGGTTATCAGCTGCTACATGGGTGCTGGGAATTAAATGAATGCTCTGAAAGAGCAGCCAGTGCTCTTAACTGTCAAGCCATCTCCCTAGACAGGGTTTCTCCATGTAACAGCTTTGACTATCCTGGAACTAGCACTAAAGACCAGGCTGGCCTTGAACTCACAATGTTGGGATCAAAGATGTGTGCTACCACTGCCCAGATCTCTTTAGATTTCTTATGAGGGGGAAAGAACATCAAAGGTTTGTGTTTTTTCTCTATGGAACTTGTCTGTCTAAACTTGTCTCAGGGCTGGCAAGATGGCTGTAAAGGAACTTTCCACCAGGACTGGTGACCTGAGTTCAATTCCTGCAACCTGGTGACAGAAGGAGAGAACAGACTCCTTCAATCTGTCCTTGTATGCCATAGCATATATGCACATCTCCCTACTAAACAAATATAATAAAAATGAAAGTATCTAATATTCTGGGGCTATGGCTGACAGTTTGCTGATAGGCCAGTCCCCTAATTCTGAAAAACATTAGGATCACACCAACATGGATCCAGCAGAAGCAAAGCAGATCACTTTTAGAAGAGTCTTTCCAGAAAGGAGTTGTGCAAGGTTCCTAGTGAGTCGTGGGAGTCATCAGCTCCCAAGGCTCACTTTTTGAGGTATGATGTGCTCACTCCGAGGCCACACAGAATCCCGTTGTAGACATTGTTCTCCAGTTTCTTTTATATTACTGAGACAGCCTGGGATTTCCAAACAAATCCTGCTAAGTACCAAGAATTCTATCACAGCATATGAACTGAATACTCATTGAGCAGCTGGTGCCTGCTCAGAGATATTCTGAACATTTGCAATGCCTCATTGAACTTGCAATT